GTAAAGCCACTTCCGGTGCCTATGCTTTACCGTTCAGAGACAGCGTCAGTATGGCTCAATCTCTCCGCGCTAGTTTTTGCTCTGTTCCTGGTTGCTCTTGTGGAGCAAGAAAACAACCCTATTTATCTTTTCATGCTTTTCCGACGGACCCGGACCGTAGAAGGCAGTGGATCCAAGCAGTTAGGAGAGACGAGGGTCCCCTGTTCACCATAAAGACAGGGAGCACTTTTGTATGCAGCCGGCACTTCACACCGGAGGATTATCTCACTGGATCGACCGTCAGCCGCCTTAAAAGTGGAGCTGTTCCATCTCTATTCCCCTGGAATAATTTTATTGCACCACCTAAGAGGGAGTCAGCATTCCAGAAGGCTCAGAAACGTCAGCTTGTCCTTTCAGAGCAAGTTAGCCAGGCTGAAGCTGCCACTGCCGAACATGATTATGCGGCACATCCACCCCCAGGTAAATATCTAATTATATCAGTTATGTTAACATTTTATTCTAGCATATTTGAGTCAATATTATAACTATGAAACAATAAATGCTCAGTGTCATAACATGTTTGTGGAACAAAATTAAAGCAGTGTAAATAAAATACAATATTTAGGACTGTAATTGTATATATAATTATATATATATTACATTATGGTTAGACCTTTTTAAGGTATTTATAGCACTTTTTTCTGGTTTTACAGGTGCGCTTGATAAAGCCCTTGAGACGATCAAGGAGTTGGAAGCCAGGCTGGAGAAGATGGATTTGTCTCCCAGCACACTTTTTAATAGTTATTGCTTTTCTGATGACCAGATCCGGTTTTACACAAAATTCCCATCTAAGAGTGTGTTCAGGATCTTCTGGGAGTCCATTGCACCATCTGCATCCCGTCTAGTGTACTGGACCAGAGCTCAGAAAATTGGAGATAAAGAAGTTGCTGAACCAAGCCCTGCACGCCGCATGCCTCTAATTGATGAGTTTTTAATGTACTCATTCAGGGTTGCAGTGGGAATGAAGGAGCAGCTCATTGCTGACATGTTTAAAGTGAGCATTTCTACTGTCAGCCGAGTGACCATCACATGGGCCAACTACCTTTTCATTGTGTTCTCGTCAATTAACATGTGGATTAGTCGGGAGAAGGTGAAAGCCAGCATGCCTCAAAGATTTGTGAAGCGCTCTCCAAGTGTGCGTGTCATCCTGGACTGCACAGAAGTTGCTTTAGAGGGGGCATCATCACTAACTTTACAGTCTGAAACCTTCTCTGCGTACAAGAACCGCACCACTCTGAAAGGGCTGATCGGAGTTGCTCCCAATGGGTTGGTGACGTTTATATCACAGCTGTACACTGGCTGCATCTCCGACAAAGAGATCACTAAAATCAGTGGAATTCTTCCGCTGCTGGAGCCAGGAGATGAAGTCATGGCAGATAAGGGCTTCCTCATTCAAGACCTCCTTGATGAAGTTGGGGCCAAACTCACAATGCCACCTTTTCGACATCCTGGTCAGTTTAGCAAGAGAGAGACTGAGGAGACCCAAGCCATTGCTCGTCTGAGAATTATTGTTGAACAGGCAATAGCCAGAATCAAGCACTACCACATCTGGGATTCTCCTGTGCCACTCACTTTAATAGGAACCGTCAATCAGATCTGGCACAACTGTTGTGTTTTGGCTAATTATCAAGGCCCATTTTGTTTGGAAGAATAAATGTTTCATCTAAATCTTCTATGTGTCTGTTTCAGTGTACATATTTTTTGAGATGTTTATTCCCCATTTTAAAACACACTTGGGCAGAATTCAGTATTTTTTGTTTTGTTATTGTGGCTTGATTGTGTTGAATTGCAAGTGAAAACAGGTTAAACAAATAGCAAGTGATAGTGGATTATGTTGAAAATGAAATATGTAATTCTCAAATCATTTCATTTGTAACAAAACAAGGCTGGAAATATTTTTTTATAAATCATACAGGAAATAAAATAAGCACATTAGTCTAGTTTTGGAAAACTTATACCTCATCAACTTCCTTTCAGCTGCAGGCACAGGTCATTAAGACTAGGCCAATTTCATGTTTTGTTTTGCTATGCATATATTCAATTTTTGTGACAGATATTTACAATGATCAAAAAAAAGGGAATGAACAAAAAAGGGGATTTGTGAATCATTAGTTACTGTATTGCATTGACATAAACACATTCATAAAGGTGGTAAAGTAAAACATGTCCAATTTTGACTTCATCTGGTCAATGAAAGATTCATCCCGCCACACTCGCTCTACTGTTATAGTTGTCAGTGTGTCTGTGACAAAGTCGCACCATTCCAGCCCTGTGATTGCCAGCTGACCCTGTACTTGCCAGTAGTACGCATGTGAGTGCCTCACATTTGCAGAGCCATCCTGAACCTTAAGGTGAGCCACCTGGGACACATCATTTTTGGTACTACATTTAACCTCTACCAGTCCAAACGGGGGTGATTCTGATGGGTCATACACCCTGCCATCAGGACTTGCCCCAAGATGTGGTGCCTCTGGGTGAATGATAAATCCCACAGGGAGTACATTAACACTCATCAGCTCAGCATAGTTCGCCAGCACCTCGAGCTCCATCTGCAGACCGCGCTTCATTGCAGCTGTTTGTTTTGTGAACCCCCTGATCATCCTAGCTGCATGTACTGTGGCTACAGACTCCTCCTCAGCACTTCCTTTACAAGCATCCCGGAAACGGCTAGCTGTAAGCCTTGGCTGGCGAAGCTGTACCCATGCAGGACATCTGGACTGCTCCCTGGTTGCAGCCTCTATTTTTGAAGACGTATCCAGTGACAGTTGCAGAGACTGAAGATGCCTAAGTTGACCAAGAGTAGGCACAAAACACATGTTTGTAAGACTGTGAAACATCAAAGGAAGAGCAGGGAAGTCTGGAGCTGTGTGGTGTATAATGATGACGTCGCAGGACTTCTCAGGTGGGCACTGGTAAGACATTGGTGAGCCTCAAGGCACAGGCCCAAATTTGGACGGAACCAGCTCCAAAGTTGAGAGACCTTCTAAAACAAGAGCTATGAGTGGCGGGGACTCCAGCTGGCGTAATTTCTCTCCCGATGCGATGATGTCGGGGTCAGGAAGTGGTCCTACAAACACATGAGTGACAAATCTCAATAACTTATGACAAAGGAAACATTCCAGATTTATTTATATATATATATATATATATTTATTAAATAATATATATATATATATAATTTACAGACAGATTATGAAAACATTGGCACTCAATAAATTATACCTGGGAAAGCTCTGTAGAGTGTAGACTGCAGACATCGTTTCCCCACAGTTTTGGGCTTTCGCACTATGACTTTGCTGGCAGGTTCAGGGTGGATCCCCTTACAAGAAATAAAAACAGAAAAATAGATTTTGTTAACATGACATTTATATATATATATATATATATATATATATATATATTAGAGATAGATAGATAGCTTAATTATATTATTCTTAAAGTAGTTAAGAAAATTGCATACCAAATGATTATGCAATAGAAAAGAGTTGAGCAAATTACTTTTTTATTTATTTACCTGTGTTCTTGGTCTGTGCCATCTTTGTAGATCACTCGTACATGCCAGGGCAGGAGGAACAGCTGGTAGCTGGAGCTGGGAGTAGTGTGCAGTCTGATAAAGAAGTGCAACTACATGGTTGCAAAAACCTTTACCTGCTGCACAACTACAAGAATGAGCCAACAGCTCAGCCTTTTCAGCACCCAGTGAGATCTAAAGCAGAGAAGTAGTTTTAGAACGGACATAGTTATTACTTGTTATAACTTATCTTATAAAGACAAGAGATTGTAGTTTAGATTTGCTGCAACAGCAGCAGTACATAGAAAAGCCTATGCTGCAACAGCAGCAGAAGAGAAATAGTAACCACCAAACAGAAAGATGCGAGTATAGGCTCTCAGTTTTACTGGAACTGTCCATCCTATGTGAACGTTCTTCAGCTGTCATCTATCAGCGACTCAAGAACTCAAAGCTGAACAAGCCAACCGGCTTTCTGACTTTCAAACCTGCAGTCTGTGCGGCTCCTCATTTCTCCTCATGGACCTGAAGCATTTAGCTCTGACCACTACCTTTCCCTCGAGAATATTTGATACTATACGTATGCAGAAACAAAGCACAATTTAATGGTTAAGGTACATCTAGCATCATCATGTAAAAACTAACATTTAGCATGTTTGCTTTCATAAATAAGACATGAAAAACACATATCATAATGTTCTAATATAATTGGAAATTCTATACCATGTCTCCATTCAAATTTCGAATAATTTAGCACACAAATTAGCACATATTTATGTGCTTCAAGTGTCGTAGCTAGCGTAGCTGTAAGTTGATAAGTCTTACCTTGATAGTCGTGTAAATATTCTTCATGAAAGAATTTATACCCCTTATCCCGTTTATCTGTTTTTGAATTCGCTGCTGCAATTGCTTCCGCAGCAGCGAATGAAAAAGCTGGCAAACAGAGTAGTGTTGGTGAAAATATTAGAGCCATTTCTCTATCATAGACTGTGCAAACCGGAAGTGACTCAGCGCTGCGAGGCGGCACTTCCGGTTATCGTGAAAAAGGTCTATGGAAATGGAGGATTTAGCTCCTGGGTTCAATCCCCATTGTCTCCGAGGTGTTTTTTTTATCAAAGTAAATACTCGGTCTTATAATTGCACACCTTGAAAACAAATTGTTGTAAAACCAAACTTTAAAAAAATAAAACATTAAAAGGGGATGTAGCTTGGTGGTAGAGCGCATGCTTTGCATGCTTTACATGCTTTACATGCGCTCCTGGGTTCAATCCCCAGCATCTCCAAGATTGAATTAAAGCAATAACTAAGTTACCAAAAATGTATTTAATTTAGTTTTAGAGTGTACTCTCTTTCTTTGGCTATTAGTCAGAGTTCCATTAATTGTCACCAGCTTGAGTAGTTATTTATCTTTGAAGCAAAGTTTTTGGCAGTGGTGGGATTTGAACCCACGCCTCCATAGAGACTGGAGCCTAAATCCAGCGCCTTACTGCTAATTTACACATCGCGCGTTACAGCACGTACGCGTTATACGCGCAGCAGACGCGCGTAACATTTTTCCATGTTAACCTATGATGATATTTACACTTCTAGCGTTATACACGCGTATGACGCGAAGCTGCGCTCTAATTTAGGATGGATTTCTAATTTTGTGCGCGCACCAACGCGTCTCCCATAGAAATATCATGTAAAACATGATTTTTCTAGCAGCCCTTGGCTCTAGATCGCATCTACACACACACAGCACTTGTGTCTAAACATCAGCAGGAGGAGCAGCAGGTTTTACAGTGATTCTGGACATCGGTTTTTTTCTTTCATAAAGTCTCGCGTCTGGCAAAACCAGCGCACAGAGACCATGAAGACAAACACATGCATGTGATTTGTGTTGCTCTACATCAGTCCTCTGGCCCGTACTGTCCTCTACACTGCTCCATAGACTACACAGGGAGATCATCAGAAGACGCGGACCTGCGCGCACGGCCTGTGTAGATACTCCAAAAAAATGTTTGCGCAGAGAGCGCGCAGTAAACGCGTACGCGCTGTTTACGCCTACTGTGTAAATTCCCTGTTAGACCTCTCGGCCACACTACCTTTCAGAGCTGGATTTGTATGCAGCTAAACCACAAGTAAATATTACTGCCACTATGCTAGTTCTTTTCCCTTCATCTAATGACAGTCTGTTGCTGTGGCCGAGAGGTTAAGGCGATGGACTCGAAATCCATTGGGGGTTCCCCGCACAGGTTCGAATCCTGTCAGCAACGTGAGAAAAGTTGTTGTGATGTGTTGTACTTGTTGGCTTCCTTACTGAGCTCTGGTAACTTGGAGGAGGGATGGAACTCAATAACACACAAACATTTTTAGCATGCAGGAGATACTGGATGAAATCCCCAAAATCACCCAACATTTGACATGGATCTGATGTTTTTTCAATGTTGTTGGTTAATCTGCGGTTGGTTCACAAACCTTGATTAACTAGAGAAGCCTGCTAAATGGGGGGAGTAGCTCCTGGGTTCAATCCCCATCGTCTCCAAGGTGTTTTTAATCCAAATAAATATTCCATCTTATGATTGCACATCTTGAAAACAAGTTGTTGGTTAACCAAATGTGAAATTATCATACCTAAAGGGGATGTAGCTTAGTGGTAGAGGGCACTCTGTTTCTTTGGCTACTCTACAGATGTTCCTTTATTGTCACCAGCTTGGGTATTGATTTATCTTTGATGCAAAGATTTTGGCAGTGGTGGGGTTTGAACCCAAGCCTCCATTAAGACTGGAGCCCGACCATTTCCCTTCGGAGGAAAATCAGTCTGTTGCTGTGGCCGAGAGGTTAAGGCGATGGACTTGAAATCCATTGGGGTTTCCCCGCACAGGTTCGAATCCTGTCAGCAACGAGATTTAACGTGTCTCAGCGTGTTTTTGACAAGTACTTATTTGCTTGCTTCCTTAGCTCTGGTAACTTGGAGAAGCGATGGAACTCAATGACAAACTACATTCATAGCATGCATGAGGTACTGGGTTAAATCCCCAAAGTCCTCCAACATTTGTCATGGATCTGATGTATTTTCAATGTTGTTGGTAAATCTTGGGTTAGTTCACCTTGATTAACTAGAGACCCTTGCTGCATTATAAACTGTAATAAAAAGCCATAACAAAAGGGGATCACATTGATTCCATTAACAATGGAAATGTCTGTGGCTTAAATCACCAACATTACCCCAACAAATAGCACTTACTGCATTCAGATAGTAAGTCAGTGCAACTGCCAGGGCAATGTGAATGACAGGGAAATGTAAAACGCAAAAATAGCCTTCAAAACGAAACAAGGCAGACATTTATGGATGGTAAATTCACAACCAAGACAACCCCAAAAAGGAGCACTTGTGAAAGCAGAAGCCGCGAGTGATCCTATTTGAGGTTGTCTTAATGTAATGCATTAGAAAGCTTGAGCTTTTGAATGTAGTTAGCTGTGGCCAAAGTTGCTTGTCTCTCTGGTGCCTCTTCATCTGTACTCATGGCTGCATGTAGTGAGTATTTCTAACTCAAGAGAGTGGTTCTTTTATAATGAGAAAGTCACTGTAGCCACGCCCTCTTTTCAGGTATTAGCAGCAGACGTGAAGGACGCCAGTCAGGCTTGTTTGTCAACAATGTTGTCTCTGTAGATACTCAGCAAACACACAATGTACAATGATGGATGAAAAAAAAAATAGTTTATTACTCCACACTATATCCATTTTGAACTTGCAGAACTTTGCCACTATCTAGCAATACATTTCCTGTCCATCTTTGTATGCCTGCTCTTGTTTATGATTTGCACCATACGTTCCAAATTGATTTCATTAACAATGGAAATGGAGGATTTAGCTCCTGGGTTCAATCCCCATTGTCTCCGAGGTGTTTTTTTTTTTTATCAAAGTAAATACTCGGTCTTATAATTGCACACCTTGAAAACAAATTGTTGTAAAACCAAACTTAAAAAAAATAAAACATTAAAAGGGGATGTAGCTTGGTGGTAGAGCGCATGCTTTGCATGCTTTACATGCGCTCCTGGGTTCAATCCCCAGCATCTCCAAGATTGAATTAAAGCAATAACTAAGTTACCAAAAATGTATTTAATTTAGTTTTAGAGTGTACTCTCTTTCTTTGGCTATTAGTCAGAGTTCCATTAATTGTCACCAGCTTGAGTAGTTATTTATCTTTGAAGCAAAGTTTTTGGCAGTGGTGGGATTTGAACCCACGCCTCCATAGAGACTGGAGCCTAAATCCAGCGCCTTAGACCTCTCGGCCACACTACCTTTCAGAGCTGGATTTGTATGCAGGTAAACCACAAGTAAATATTACTGCCACTATGCTAGTTCTTTTCCCTTCATCTAATGACAGTCTGTTGCTGTGGCCGAGAGGTTAAGGCATGGACTCGAAATCCATTTGGGGGTTCCCCGCACAGGTTCGAATCCTGTCAGCAACGTGAGTGAAGTTGTTGTATGTGTGTTGTACTTGTTGGCTTCCTTACTGAGCTCTGGTAACTTGGAGGAGGGATGGAACTCAATAACACACAAACATTTTTAGCATGCAGGAGATACTGGATGAAATCCCCAAAATCACCCAACATTTGACATGGATCTGATGTTTTTTCAATGTTGTTGGTTAATCTGCGGTTGGTTCACAAACCTTGATTAACTAGAGAAGCCTGCTAAATGGGGGGAGTAGCTCCTGGGTTCAATCCCCATCGTCTCCAAGGTGTTTTTAATCCAAATAAATATTCCATCTTATGATTGCACATCTTGAAAACAAGTTGTTGGTTAACCAAATGTGAAATTATCATACCTAAAGGGGATGTAGCTTAGTGGTAGAGGGCACTCTGTTTCTTTGGCTACTCTACAGATGTTCCTTTATTGTCACCAGCTTGGGTATTGATTTATCTTTGATGCAAAGATTTTGGCAGTGGTGGGGTTTGAACCCAAGCCTCCATTAAGACTGGAGCCCGACCATTTCCCTTCGGAGGAAAATCAGTCTGTTGCTGTGGCCGAGAGGTTAAGGCGATGGACTTGAAATCCATTGGGGTTTCCCCGCACAGGTTCGAATCCTGTCAGCAACGAGATTTAACATGTCTCAGCGTGTTTTTGACAAGTACTTATTTGCTTGCTTCCTTAGCTCTGGTAACTTGGAGAAGCGATGGAACTCAATGACAAACTACATTCATAGCATGCATGAGGTACTGGGTTAAATCCCCAAAGTCCCCCAACATTTGTCATGGATCTGATGTATTTTCAATGTTGTTGGTAAATCTTGGGTTAGTTCACCTTGATTAACTAGAGACCCTTGCTGCATTATAAACTGTAATAAAAAGCCATAACAAAAGGGGATCACATTGATTCCATTAGCAATGGAAATGTCTGTGGCTAAATCACCAACATTACCCCAACAAATAGCACTTACTGCATTCAGATAGTAAGTCAGTGCAACTGCCAGGGCAATGTGAATGACAGGGAAATATAAAACGCAAAAATAGCCTTCAAAACGAAACAAGG